CCTAGAATTCCTGTTTAAAAGATGGATCAATATGTATAGCTCAGTTGTGGTGGGGGTGGTGGTGGTTACATAATTGCATGCTTTTATCAAAACTCACAGAACTATACCCTAAAGAGAGTGAAATTTTATTTTATGTAAATTATGCCATAATTTTTTTAATGGCTAAAATGTATAATTTTATTGTCAATAAAAAAAAAAAGAATGTCTTTGTCTTATTTTTCCTCCTTTTGGACAAAAATGGGACAAATCTAAAAATATCTCCAGTAACAGTGAAAGCCTGTAGCTCATGTCCCAATATGATACTAATTCTATGAAATAGCATTTGATTTCACAGGAAACTGGCTGAAGCTGAACTCTATAAACTAAGTTACCAATTTTATCATGTGCCTAACTCTTTCCAAACTTTTTATTTGTTGAATGAAATACAAACTAAAACAAAGGTAATAAAATGTTTTCACGGCAGGGCGCGGTGGCTCACGCCTATAATCCCAGCACTTCGGGAGGCCCAGGAGGGTGGATCCCAAGGTCAAGAGATGGAGACCATCCTGGTCAACAAGGTGAAACACTGTCTACTAAAAATACAAAAATTAGCTGGGCATGGTGGTGCGCACCTGTAGTCCCAGCTACTCAGGAGGCTGAGGCAGGAGAACTGCTTGAACCCAGGAGGTGGAGGCTGCAGTGAGCCGAGATCGTGCCATTGCACTCCAGTCTGGGTAACAACAGCGAAACTCCGTCTCAGAAAAAAAAAAAAGGAAATTAAAAAAAAAAAAAATAGGGACTGGTAGACATTGAATTTTTTCCCTGCCATATTTAAATGTGTTAATATAGCCAAATCTGTGTTATAGTTCAGTGTGACATCATCTCAGTATAACCAATTCTACAGAGCAATGCTTCTCAAATATAAACGTGCCTATGAATCACCTGGGGACCTTACTAAATTGCAGCAGTAAGTCTGGAAGAGGAGAGATTGTCGCATTTCTATTAGCCTCACAAACAACACTGAGGCTCCTAGTCCATGGACCACACTTTGAGTAGCAAGGTCAAATAAAAGGTTCCTATGCTGTTTGTTTGATTTGACAGATTTATAATATAAAAATGCAAAACATAAAAAAAAAATCAAAAGAACAAATCCAGAAAAACATTGCAACATTTGTAACATGCATATCTTTTGTATTACTTTCTATTGCTGCAGAAAAGTTACCATCTTATACTTTTATAGTTTCAGAATCATCATTCCGAAAGACAGCACAAACTCTTAAAATGGTTTACAAAGGCCCATTACACATTTCCACCTTTATCTCTAACTACTTCAGCACCATTACCCACCCTATGGGTACAAGTGTACTCAAACCACACCTGACAACTCTTTACACAATGCTAAAATCTTAACTTCTGTAGTCTATCCAACTCTCCCTAACTCTATCCCAGAAACTTTGGTTTTGATAACACAGCAGGCCCAGTAGAAGTCAGTCATCAGCTGAGGGCTCCTCTCCTCTTTCCCCATTTCAACTGATTTTTGGTCTAATTTGGCCAAGCATTTCATCCCTCTATAAAGTTCCATGACCTACGTATTCCATATTTAGGCAGTGAAAATATGGATTTTTTTTTTTTTTTTGAGATGGAGTTTCGCTCTTGTATCCCAGGCTAGAGTGCAATGGTGTGATCTTGGCTCACTGCAACCTCTGCCTCCCAGATTCAAGCAATCCTCCTGCCTCAGCCTCCCAAGTAACTGGGATTATAAGCACCTGCCACCATACCCAGCTAAGTTTTTTATTTTAGTAGAGACAGGGTGTCCCTGTGTGGGCCATGCTGGTCTCAAACTCGTGACCTCAGGAGATCTACTCACCACGGCCTCCCAAAGTGCTGGGATTACAGGCATGAGCCAAAGTGTCTGGCCAAGATTAATTATAAATTAAAGAAAGGGCCGGGCGCGGTGGCTCACGCCTATAATCCCAGCACTTTAGGAGGCCGAGGCGGGTGGATCACGAGGTCAAGAGATCAAGACCATCCTGGTCAGCATGGTGAAACCCCGTCTCTACTAAAAATACAAAAATTAGCTGGGCATGGTGGCGCATGCCTGTAGTCCCAGCTACTCGGGAGGCTGAGGTAGGAGAATTGCTTGTACCCAGGAGGCGGAGGTTGCGGTGAGCCAAGATCATGCCATTGCACTCCTGCCTGAGTAACAAGCGAAACTCCATCTCAAAAAATAATAATAAAATAAAATAGATTAAAGAAAGATCTGACATGGTGGCTCACACGCTGAAACCCCATCTCTACTAAAATTACATAAATTAGCCAGGCGTGGTGGTGGGCACCCATAATCCCACCTATTTGGGAGGCTGAGGCAGGAGAATCGCTAGAACTCGGGAGGCAGAGGTTGCAGTAAGCCAAGATTGTGCCACTGCACTCCAGCTTGGGTGACAGAGCAAGACTCCATCTCAAAAAATAATTAATCTCTCACTGATACATGTTTTTCTCATACAATTGTTTAAATTGTGATATAATCAACATGCTATAAACACTATCCTTTTAAAATATATAATTCGGAGTTTTTAGTATATTCAGAGTTGTGCAATGCAACCATCACCACTGATTTTAGAACATTTCTTATTTTTTATTTTTCTTTAGAGACGAGGTCTTACTATGTTTCCCAGGCTGGTCTCAAACTCATGGGCTCAAGCGATCCTCCTGCCTCAGCCACCCAAAGTGCTGGGATTACAGGTGTGCGCCACCTCACCTGGCCCTGATTTAAAACATTTCATCAACCCAAAAAGAATATTCTCAATATTCTCACCTACACCTCCAGTCCCCCAACCTCTGGCAAACCATTAAGCTTTCTGTCGCTATAGATTTGCCTACTCTGGGTATTTCACATAAATGGAATCACACAATATGCAGTCTTTCTGACTCTGCTCACGTAGTGTGATGTTTTCAACGTTCATTCATATTGCAGCACACACCAGTACTTCACTCCTTTCTATGGCCAAATAATATTTCATTGTATGAATATATTAACACCATATTTTGTTTAGCGATACATCAGTCGTTATATCCTTACAACATTCCAGTATTCTAATAAAGAACCAGGGCTCTGAGAAGTTCACTAACTTAACTCAAATGATAAAATGATATTTGGGGCTGAGCGCAGTGGCTCACGCCTGTAATCCCAGCATTTCTGGAGGCTCAGCAGGAAAATCACTTGAACCCGAGAGGCGGAGGCTGCAGTGAGCCAAGATCGCACCATTGCACTCCGGCCTGGGCAACAGAGCAAGACTCCATCACAAAAAACAAAAAGACATTTCTACTTTTTGGTGATTATGAACAATGATACTATAAACATAGGTATACAAGTTTTATGTGAACATGTTTTCAGTTTTCTTTGGTATATACAGGAGTGGGCTTGCTGGGTCATATACTAACTCTATGCTTAATGTTTTGAGAACTACCAAACTATTTTCCACCATTTTACATCCCCACCAGCAATGTTCGAGAATCACATTATTACATTTTCAACAAATGAGGATAATTCTTGAAGGAAAAGAGAGGTGTGCCGCCACCGTAGAACGATAACCCCCTACCCAGAAGACTGCATTCACAACGCAGAAGTATATTTCCAGTAGGAAAACAGAATAAAATGTTACAGGTCCAAGTGTATTAGGCAAGTGAGTTAACCTCGCAGAGCCCCGGTCCCTTATTGGAAAAAAAGGGCTGCTGTCATGACATTTTACCTCGCAGTCGCTGTGAAAATTATATCAGTCAATCCGCGTAAAGGTGCTTTACAGCACTGATTATTCACGATTTGATCCCAGTCAAGGCATTAGGGGCAAACGGCTAAATGCCCAGATCCTTCCCGTTCGCACAGTTTCCTTCTACGCGGAAGGGTCGCTGAGCGACGTCAGGGGCTGCAGCCGCTTCCCTTCCCGGGAGAGCCGGCCTGCCAGCCACGCAGGATAAATTGCTAGAGCTCGAGCAGCAGAGCCGTGCCACCCCTGCCCAGCACCGCTCCCAGGAGAGATCTGCAGCCTGCTGCTAAGCTTAGTAAGTCCGCTCAGGACCTTTCTTCCTTTTTAAATGGTAATAAACATCTTTTTTGTGGTCGAAGCAGAAAAGAAGGGGCAAAGGGAACACAAGCATATCCCCCCCACCTCTGATCCCAGTCTCGGTCTCTCCAACACCCCCCAACCCTCCTCCACATAAGGAAAACAAATATGAAACCCGATTCATTACGAACCCCAGTCCCAAGGGCCCTCACCTCCTCGCGAGGACAGAGGCTGCAAAGCTTACCTGGTGGCTTCCTCCGGCTCGACCTGGCTCCGGCCAGGCGCCTCCAGAGGGATAGTAGCCATCGCCTCCTCCGCCTTCTCCCAGCCAGGTGGTCTCCGCCGGGCCGCCCCCGCGCATCCGCCAGGAAATAGGAGGCTGGGGAGGTTCTGGGCGAAGAGGATATAAGGGCGGAGGTGGGTGCACCGGCACATCTCCACCCCCAGGCCCGTAGTAGCGGCCGTAGGACGGACCGTCACTGGGGCCGTAGCCCGAGCGCCTCAGGGCCGACATGGGCTCCGCTGCCCTGAAGCGCTTCCCGCCCCCCACGGCCGACCCATAGCGCAGGCGCCCGCGGGTGATTGCGAATGGAGAGCAGAGAAGGGGGTCAGACAACGCCAGCCAATCCCAGGTCCGGTTCCGCCCCTTCTGCTGCCGAGCCCCGAGAACTGAGGGACGGATGTCCGTGACTCTGGGGTCTTGGGAACCCGGAGAAGGGGAAGGAGACACCGTGTTCCTTAAGAGGGAGGATACGTTTCCTCACCATCTATCCAATGAAGATTCCTCTTCCCTACTTAACAGGAACAGGGAAAGGGTGTCCCTGGACCGTACGGCGGCCCCGCCTCTTCCTGGGGTGGGGGCCGGCACGTGCACCGGAAGTGGGTGGATATAATATGGAGGAACTTCCGGCAGTCCCGGCTGAAAGCCGGGGCAGAGGTGCTGGTCTGGGTCGGGGTTCCGGGCTCTGTCCCGCCGAGGCGGCGACTTCGGTAGGAGGGCGGAGGTTTTGGACGCGCTGGCCCCCACCGCTGTGCAGAGTTATTTCCCTTCAAAATGAACTATATGCCCGGCACCGCCAGCCTCATCGAGGACATTGATAGTGAGTAGTTCATCTCCACCCTGTGGAGCCTGGGGGAGACCCTTCCTCCCCGGCGGACGCCTCTTCTGAAGAAGATGGTAGAATAAGTCCCGGGCGGGGACTCTGTGTTCTGAGCTCAATCCGGGTGTTCCGCGTTGATGTCCTTCACAGCTCCGGGACACACTGCTTGCCCACCCAGTAGCCTGCTACTTCTTGTTCTGCTCCTCGCAGCCTCTGCCAGCCCCCGGGCTGGTGAGCTCCAGGCGATGGAATTCATTATTGCTTCCCTGGGTCGCCGCAGCAGAGGGCCTAACACGGAAGAAGCCCAAGAGGGCTTCTCTCCCGTCCACTCCCACCTGCAGTATTTCGAAGTATTCGCGTGTTACGGGTGGATGAATCTGAATACCTAGAGAAAGCATTCATTAAGCGAAAATATTAAGACAGTGGTAGTTGTATTTAATTGGCAGTAAACATAGGCTTTCTACGGTGTGGCCATTTACTAGCTTCTTTTACTATGAGGGTAATTAGCACCTTCAGGTTATTGTAAAGACCACTGCTAGACATGGTATCGACTTTTCCGGAAAGACCAAGTCACTTCCAGCCACTGATTTTCTATTAGACAATTTACTTTTGCCTTTACTAAGAAGACCTCCCTTATTCCTATTTTTGGTCCGGAGGAGGAGCTCAGTCCTATACAAAAGCAGAAAGAACCACTGGAGTTGTCCTGGCCTTCCTTTTTTCTAAGTTCTATCTGCATTATTCCTCAAGCAACATTTTTTATTGTTTCAATCGTGATCTTTCTCACTAACTTCTTGTTGCAAGATGATTTACACATAGTTTTTAAACAAGTTGCAGTCGCCTCAGTTACTCTGTGAATATGCAACTTAGAATCTGTGATTAAAATTTCATTTTATGGGCCAAGCACGGTAGCTCACGCCTGTAATCCCAGCACTTTGGGAGGCGGATGCAGGCACATCACCCGAGGTCGGGAGTTCAAGACCAGCCCGGCCAACATGGTGAAACCCCTACAATTAGCTGGGTACTGTGGCGGGTGCCTGTAATCCCAGCTTCTCGGGAAGCTGAGGCGGGAGAATCGCTTAAACTGGAGAGGAGGAGGCTGCAGTGAGCCGAGATCGCACCATTGCACTTTCAGTAGAGCCGAGGTTTCGCCATGTTGGCCAGGCTGGTCTCGAACTCCTGATCTCAGATGATCCACCCACCTCGGCCTCCCAGAGTGCTGGGATTACAGGTGTGACCCACCGCACCCAGCCAACATATAATTTTTTGAAACTCAAATTACTTACTTTGCTATATAAGGGAAACGAAGTGTAATTGGACTAAATACATATATATTAACATCTGTATGAACCTGTTACCTGTAACAAGATGTTTTCGTTGCTTGAGGATGTCCTTCTGCTCTCATCTCTCCTTATATATCCCCTAACACATCCTGCCATTTTACTAAAAATCAGTTTTGTTCTTCAGCCCTCTAACCCCTACCTCTTTGTAGATTCCAGACCCCCTACTTTATGAAAACTTTGAAACCATTTGATAGGCACCCTTTGCTCCCCGCCCTAACACTCAGTTTCTTCTCTTAGTCTTTCAGTATTTTCACCCATCCTCTAATTTGAGTAGGAAGGATTCCTCCCTTTTTGTTTGTTACTACTGTCTCTTCTCACTGCTTCTGGAACCTTTTTCATTGTTATCCTTTTTCTTTCATATCCTCTGTGTTCTTCCCTTCATATGTATTATTGTCTGTCCATCTCAAATATTTTCTCAGTTTTGTCTCATCATACTCCCATCCCTTTTTTCATCTTTATCCCAAAATCTCGAGTCATTTTCATTTTGACACTTGTGTTTCCTGATCACCTTCAATAGACCACTTATATTACTCCTGCAATCTAATTTTTATCCTGTACACTACTCAAGGTGCATTCTTCAAAGTTAATCATCTAAGGCATTCTTCTGTGTTCCCTCCCTTCTGCAGCATTGTGATATTGTCCCTACCAGATTCTTTAATTCTCTTCTCTTGATTTCTCTAACAATTGGTACTTGGTGATTTTCTTATCTCTTTGGCTCTTACTGTTCTCCAAAATAGATGGTCACTTAGATTCCATGTGGCCCACTTCTTTAAATCTTCAGTAGATCTCTGGTACTTCAGTAATTTCGTATCACCTCTTTGTAGATTTATCCAGAATTACTTTCTCTAATTTTGATGTCTTTGGCTTTCGAGTCTTGTTTCCAGCTGTCTGCATGTGTTTCTATGTAAGTGTCCTGATAGCACTTTAGAACCACAAAGAGCTAATAACCTTCACCTTGAGCTTGCTGCTTTTATTTACAACTCTTGGTAAATAGTTTTGTGATGTCTCATAAAACTGTTAACATCTGTGTGCGGTGGTGTGTGCCTGTAGTCCCAGCTACTTGGGAGGCTGAGGTGGGAGGATCACTTGAGTCCAGAAGTTCTGTGCTGTAGTCCGCTATGCCGATCGGGTGTCCGCCCTAAGTTTGGCATCAGTATGGTGACCTCCAGGGAGCAGGGGACCACCAGGTTGCCTAAGGAGGGGTGAACTGGCCCAGGTCAGAAACGGAGCAGGTCAAAACTCCTGTGCTGAACAGTAGTGGGATCGTGCCTGTGGATAGCCACTGCACTCCAGCCTGGGCAATATAGCGAGACCCCATCTCTTAAAAAAAAAAAAGAAAAATTAAAAAGAAAAAAAGCTCTTACATCTTGTTTACCTCACATCTTCAGCACCCCACCCTCTCATACATACCCACATATACAAACTCAGTTAACAGACTCCATCACCTAATGTTTTCTTGTTCCTTATGAGGTCAAATCCAAATGCAGCCTGTGCCTAGTACTTTTCTGACTTTATCTACTGTACTTTCCCTTCACACCCTCAGCTTTTAGCCAAACATGGATATATAGCCCTTTTTTTCCTCCTCCTCAATTTACAGATTTCCTTCTACCACCTCTTCCTATTACTCTTCCCTTGCCCAAAAATTATCTACCTTTCAAGGTCCAACTCTGATACCTCCTCCAGAAACATAACTTCTCTCTCTGTAGTCTCATATAATTAAGATTTGCTTTCTATGATACTTACATATAGCCCAAGGAAGAGTATAAATTCCTTCAGGGCACAGTCACTGTCTTTTTTCTTTTTCCTTGTTGTGCATCTACAAAGTACTTTAGGCGTGGCATTAATGAAATGAATGAAAGAAATTTTGCTGGGTGTGCTAGTAATTGGCTTATTCTCATTCTTCAATGTCAGCTCAAAGTCACTTCTTCAGAGACGCTTTCCCTTGCCATCCTTCCTTCTGTGACCACTTCTCTCCTTTCATCATACTGTCTTGCTAGCTTGTTATTCCATTGTCCTAATCACAATAGGTAATTTTCTTATTTATTTGTCCTCATCCACCATGAATATAAATTCATAAGGTTGGTGACTTTCTAAGTCTCATTCTCTACTATATATCTAGACCCAAGAATAGCATATGCCTGTCAATAAACATTGAATTTCTGCTCTAGCTTATTATTAGTCTTCATTTTAAATGCCTGAAGCAGTGAGCTTTTATTTAAAGCCTTCCCTGGTTACAAACAAATGTGAGATAGAAGCTCTTCCTTTTAAGTTAAGGACAAAATAATTCTATAAATAAGACCGTAAGAATCATCTTGACTAAATGTGTCCGTTTACAGATATAAAAACTGACACGACACTGAGACAGTTTAAGTGTTAAACATAAGGGTCTTTGGGTTGGGCGCCATGGCTCACTCCTGTAATCCTAGCACTTTGGGAGGCCAAAGTGGGCAGATCATATGAAATCAGGAGTTCAAGACCAGCCTGACCAACATAATGAAACCCCCTCTCTACTAAAAATACAAATGTTAGCCAGGCATGGTGGCATATTCCTATAGTACCAGCTACTTAGGAGGCTGAGGCTGGAGGATTGCTTGAACCTGGGAGGCTGTAGTGAGCCAGTACACTCCAGCCTCGGTGACAGAGTGAGACTGTCTCAATAAATGAATGAATGAATGAATGAATGAATGTGTGTGTGTATGTATGTATGTATGTATGTATGTCTAGAGCCAGCCAGTCAGGCTTCCTGAAGCCATACCTTGTCCTTGTCCCATTCTGCCACACTGCTCTGATTCTTTTCACAACTGATGTTCTCATCTGAATCACGGCCTGCTGTGGTTTTCCCTCCAGTTCTCCAGTGAACTTGAACTTCACCTTAAATACATTGGCAGAGGAAGTGATACAGTTTAAACTGTTATTAACTTTATTTTATTATCTTAAAAACTCACTGAACTTGTCTGGTTTTGTTTAAAAGATTTTTTTCCCCTCTCCCCAGAAAAGCACTTGGTCCTGCTTCGAGATGGAAGGACACTTATAGGCTTTTTAAGAAGCATTGATCAATTTGGTATGTATTAATTTATGGATGTCTCTTATACTCTGGGTAACAGCTGCCCATTGCAATTTTTTTTATTTCATATTGAAATTTATCTGCAACTTTTTCTTGTGTGTAGCATAGTGGAACTGATTTTATTGAGTACATCATTGTTTTCTGTACATTCAGATTAGGTGGTTCAAAGCTGATATATGTTTACAAGCTCATGTTTCTAAAACTGGCTTTCACTAGAATCCCCATTATGGGGAGCCAAATCATAGAAATAAACTCAGTCCACTGAAGAGGCTGCTCACCTTTTTTTCATTTTGTTTTGTTTTTTTGAGACGGGGTCTTGCTCTGTCTCAAAGCCGAGGCTAAAGTGCAGTGACACGGTGTCGGCTCACTGCAACCTCCACCTCCCAGGTTCAAGCGATTGTTGTGCATCACTCAGCCTCCCAAGTAGCTGGGATTACAGGCTCCAGCCACCATACTAAGCTAATTTTTGTATTTTTAGTAGAGACGGGGTTTCACCATGTTGGCCAGGCTGGTCTTGAACTCCTGACCTCAGGTGATCCACCCGCCTCAGCCTCCCAAAGTGCTGGGATTACAGGCGTGAGCCACTGTGCCCACCTAAGGCTGTTCATTTCTACATTGGCTGGGTATAATGACTTCAGAGCAGTTCTTGAAGTGAAGTTAATCGCTCCCTAGCCAATGAAAATTGGGTAGAAGGCATTTCCTGAAGTGTTTTAAGGGCCCCGAACATTAAACTTAATACTTTACATATAGGGATACATTAGAATCAGAAGTCTCTGTCTTTGTTTTGCATCATGCATTTTTCTAAAGTTAAAAGATTATGTTTCCTTCTGTTTCAAGGAACTTCATGTTCATGCTAACATTTATTGGATATCTGTGAAATCACTGGATTTGAGCATGAGGAAGAAACATAATTAAAACACAAGAATTACAGAAGATATGAACATAGATTTCTCCTTTACTTCAAACAGGACAAGTAGTACTAATTGAAAGAAGAAAAATAATTATGGTTAACAAATTGAAGTTCTGATCCTTAAGTCAGATTCATCAGAGTACTTTGAGGGAAAGGTAGTGAATAGTAAGTTAACTTTTAGATTACAAAGTATAGTTATCTGTCAGGGTGAAAAAACAGGTTTTTCTGTATGATAACCAATGGATACCTGCATTGGGTTAAATGAATCCTAAGTACTGAAACAAAGTTAAATCTTCAGCAGATCATCACATACACATACCCAAACACACAAAAAAGCTGTTCCTTTCCAGAAAACAAAGTTTTGATCTTTGTGGTTGTTTAGGCCCGTTTTCCAAGTTCCTTATTCATTTATAGTTTCCTATGGCTTTATTAGCAATTAACTAATAAAGGAATTTACTTCTCTTATTTCTACCATCATTCAGGTATCAGCCCAATATAATCCCAGGCGTCTCCTAAGTGGTATGTCATAGTCAGTGAAATTGTAGAAGATTATTTGAAATGTTAGCCTTCCTCAGAATTAGAAAGTTTGGAAATCATGTTTAGCTAAATCTTTTCTATTCAAAATAACTGATTAATTGAGTTATGGGCCTTTACCCAATAACTTAAACTAAATATTTTTGTTTCTTCCCTATACACTTATAGCAAACTTAGTGCTACATCAGACTGTGGAGCGTATTCATGTGGGCAAAAAATACGGTGATATTCCTCGAGGGATTTTTGTGGTCAGAGGAGAAAATGTGGTCCTACTAGGAGAAATAGTAAGTGAAAATTGTTAAGCTGCTGTAGATGTTTATTCATGCTAGTTAGATTTCTTTTTTTGTCTTTTCAAGAGAGAATAAAAATATTTTCCACATTTCATCTGGCTTCTCACGGGCAACTACCAAATTAGTTTAGGGAAGCTACAGAGAATACTTAACTTTGTTTCAGTGCCTTTTAGCATTTTAAAGATTTTTGATCCCACTGGCAGCAAAATATCTTAACTTTTACCTGATACCATAAAAAAATACTATTCTATAAAAAATGGTCCTGACAGACCAAGGCCTCCACCTGCTTCTCAAAAAAAAAAAAAAAAGCTCCAGCCTGGGTGACAAGAAATACTATTCTGTAACAAATATTATTCTATAACAAATGTGTTCATTAACATATTTATTTGTTTAATAGCAGAAAATTGAAAAAGCTTGATTTATATATGCTGGGCAAGGCATGATTTATATATGTTGAAATATTTTGCAGTCATTTAAACAGTTGGTTACAAGTAGTTTTTCATGACATAAAACTAATACACAGTGTTTGAGGGAAGCACACATTGCTTTTGCAGTGCAATGTGATATCCATATCAGTAAAGGGAGAAATGGGAAAGAGTGGCTATAGGAAAAGCTTTTCTGTTACCTAGTCCTAGAATGGAGTTCAGTCTCACTTGGATCCTTTGCTCACAGCCAGGAAGAGGGTATTTTGGTGGTATCTGTGCCAGAAAGATCAGCTGGTAGGTGAAACGTTAAATCAGATTTTCTTAGGTGGTGTTGCTGTAGGTCTTTGTGTGTGCAGACATACACACACACACACACACACACACACCCCTACTAGAAGTACTCAGATTTTTTTTAAGTACCTTATTTAAAATCTTTGATTTCATCTTGCTAATTTTTTTTTTTTTTTTTTTTTTCTTTAAGATGGGGCTTCACCATGTTGGTCAGGCTGGTCTAGAACTCCTGACCTCAGGTGATCCACCCACCTCAGCCTCCCAAAGTGCTAGGATTACAGGCGTGAGCCACCGTGCCCGGCCCATCTTGCTACTTCTGATTATTGGGTTTGCAGCGAAAATCAAAATATAAATCCCTTCAAGACTAGTTGAAATTAAGGGCTGAACCAGTGCTGTTTTCTTTTCTCTTACCAAAAACTATGGTGTTTGCCTAATTTTTAAAGTTTTTCATTGTGTTTTCTAACTAGCCACGTCTTAAATCAACTTGCAGAGGTCTTGAGAGTGGTTTGGTTTGTAGCCATTTTTAATAGCTATTTGAGAAAGCAAGGACATAATTCTGCCAAGGTTGAGTTGGTTCAGAGACCACATTTTGGAAATAGCTAGAAATGACTAATCCATACTATCAGTACTGTCCAAATGCTGCTGTGAAGTATATGAAATATCATATTCTAACTTATAAAATATTTTTGAGGTTTTTACTTTTAGTTAAGTTTATCATTTCTTGCATGTTTAAGTAACAGAAATTGTTACCTTCTTATGTAAAGGCTGAAACCAAGCACCTAATACCCATGGGGAGATACTAAATGACTATAAAGTAGTCTGCCAGTATTTTTTTTTCTTCCAGAGATGTTGCCCAGGCTAGAATCAAACTCCTAGGCTCAGGCAATCCTCCTGTCTCAGCCTTCCAAGTCACTGGGACTATAAAATGCCACCATGCTTGGTACTGCCAGTATATAGGGGAGCTGACCAATCTCTGCATGGTGGGGTCATAGAGGATTTTTTTAAATACTTTTTTGAATTTAACTTTAAGGAGGCAACATATCAGAGAAAAAGACTTAGGTTAAAATATTGGGTGGGTACAGTGGCTCACATCTGTAATCCCAGTACTTTGAGAGGCCAAAGCAGGCAAATCACTTAAGTCCCAAGAGACCAGCCTGGGCAACATGGCCAAAGTGTGTCTCTACAAAAAAATACAAAAATTAGCCAGGGATGATGATGCATACCACCATTCCCAGCTACTCAGGAGGCTGAGGTGGGAGATTCACCTGAGTCAAGGCCACAGAGCCATGATTATACTACTGCACTCCAACCTGAATGACAGAGCAAGATCCTGTCTCAAAAAAATATTGACAGATACTATGCTGCTGTTTTATAGTAGTAAACACAGCAAACATGCTCTTTATACCAGTTACATTGGCACAAAGGTACATCTGAGTAGATGTGTGTGTGTACAGAGAAAGAAGTGAACATGTTTGTTCTCGAAGTTTTGTTGTTTCCTTGGATCCCTTTTGTGAGGAAAAGTTCCCTTTTTTAAAAAAAGTATGTTATAGTTTGGATGCTGCAGAAGTTTTACAGGTGTACCACTGGAGAAACATGGTCCCAGGAATGCCTACATGGTTATATCAATCAACAGTCAGGAGAAATTATGTTTCAACCCCAGAGGAATTCATATGTAGAAATCACTTAGTTTCTTTTTTTTTTTTGAGACGGAGTTTCGCTCTTGTTACCCAGGCTGGAGTGCAATGGCGCGATCTTGGCTCACTGCAACCTCTACCTCCTGGGTTCAAGCAATTCTCCTGCCTCAGCCTCCCGAGTAGCTGGGATTACAGGCGCGCACCACCATGCCCAGCTAATTTTTGTATTTTTAGTAGAGACGGGGTTTCACCATGTTGCCCAGGATGGTCTCGATCTGTTGACCTCGTGACCCACCTGCCTCGGCCTCCCAAAGTGCTGGGATTATAGGCGGAGCCACCGCGTCCGGCCAGAAATCACTTAGTTTCTATAAACACTACATTGGTTAAGAAATCCCTGAATTCTGCGTCAAGGACGATGATGATGACACAGCATTAAGAAATAAGACTGTTGGGAAGAAGCAGCCGCAGCATGAATTGCTCAGTGAGTAACATACTGAAAAGCCCCAGAGGCAGTGCATAAGCTGAGAACACTGTCCTCCCTTTAGCTGCTACTTACCGGTTGGGAGGGTAGGTGTTATGTGGTAATATATACTTTGCTGGGTGCTGTTAACTTTGGACCCGGACCAGGGCTTGCTTATGTAATTTGTGTGGCTTTCATTGTAATTTCTGTGGCAAGAGTCCTCTCGCTATCTGATAATGCCACTGCCTGTGGGTTCTGAGACCTTGGCAGCATGTAGTGATAATATACAGCCTAGTGCATCTGGAGAAGTTGTGTGTCAATACCTTCCCAACCTTTGTCATTGAAAGTCATAGAGGAGGATAAAAAACAGGAATACTTTGTATAGGTTTTCCATCTTACAAAAACATAGAATAATACCTGTGCATTCATTTTAAGGACATTAAACTGAATCTGTGGATAGTGAGATACTTTTTTAGCAAGGTTCTAATGCATTATGACATTGGTTATTAAATGTTTATAAGGGCTAGGCACAGTGGCTCACCCTTTGGGAGGCCAAGACAAGAAGATAGCTTGAGGCCAGGAGTTTGAGACCAGCCTGGGCAATATAGCAAGACCCCGTCTCTACAAAAAGGAAAAAAAATTTAGCCAGATGTGGTGGCACACACCTGTAGTTCCAGCTACTTAGGAGGCTGAGGCAGGAGGATCACTTCAGCCCAAGAGTTTCAGATCACAGAGAGCTGTGATCGTGCCACTGCATTCCACCTTGGGCAACAGAGCAAGATCCTGTCTCTAAAAAAAATGAAAAATGTTGCCAGGCGTGGTGGCTTACGCCTGTAATCCCAGCACTTTGGGAGGCCGAGGTGGGTGGATTGCCTGAGGTCAGGTGTTTGAGACCAGCCCGGTCAACATGGTGAAACCCTGACTCTATTAAAAATATATAAAATGAAAAATGTTGTGCTTGCTTTGGCAGAGCATATACTAAAATTGGAACAACACAGAGAAGATTAGCATGGCTCCTGCATAAGGATGACATGCAAATTTATGAAGCCTTCCATATTTTTAAAAGTAAATAACATGAAAAATGTTTATAAAGCATTCAAAAATAAAAATATTAAGCATACTGTGCCACATGTAAATGAAAATGAATTACAGTCAGTATTTGCATTGTGGGTTTTTGGGTGAGAGGGGGTTGTTTTTAAGACAGAGTCTCACTCTTATCCAGGCTAACTGCAGTGGTGTGATCGTGGCTCACTGCAGCCTCAAACTGCTGGCCTCAAGTGATCCTCCCCCCTCAGCCTCCTGAGTAGCTGGGATTACAGGTACATATCACCATGCCCAGCTAATTTTTTTTTTTTTTTCCTCTTCAAACAGATTCTTACTCAGTCGCCCAGGCTAGAGTGCAGTGGTGTGATCTTGGCACACTGCAACCTCTGCCTCCTGGGTTCAAGTGATTCTCTTGCCTCAGCTTCCTGAGTAGTTGGGATTACAAGTGTAAGCCACCACGCCTGGCTGGGGTTTTTTTTAGTCAGTATATACATAGAAAAATTGTAGGGATATTAACCAAAAATGTTAATTCTCCGTATTGGAATTATGGATGATTTTTTAATTTTTCCTATTTGTCTTTTCTATATTATCTGCAATGAGCATGTACTTTTTAAATAAGGAAAAGGAATTTTTTATTAGGCAACAATTTTTTTAATAGTGGAGAAAAATATTGGGACCAAATTGGTTTAGTAACCTCAATGGTCTGCTGAGGTTTTCTCTAGAATACTTCTTGCCATAAAGGAAAAAAAGAGTCTTGTGTTATAGTTTAGAGACTACAGAGCCGGTGCGATGGCATATACCTGTAGTTCCAGGCATATACCTATAGTACTTGGGAGGTGAAAGCAAGAGGATCCCTTTTATTTTTGCCTTTTTATTTATTTATTTATTTTTGAGACAGAGTCTTGCTCTGTTGCCCAGGCTGGAGTGCAGTGACATGTTCATGGCTCACTGCAGCCTTGACCTCCAACTTCCCAGGCTCAGGCAGTCCTTCCACCTCAGCCTCTTGAATAGCTGGAACTGTAGGTGCACACCACCACATCTGCTTTTTTGTGTGTGTGTATGGAGTTGGGGTCTCACTGTATTGCCCAGGCTGGTCTCGAACTCCTAGGCCCAAGTGATCCTTCCACCTCAGTCTCCCAAAGTGCTGGAATTACAAGCATGAGCCACCCCACCCATCCTTAAAATAATTTTTTAAAAAATTTTTCTAAGGCCACACTGCCTCAATAACCTCCCTCTTGGATTCTCTACAGCCGGGGAGATAGCTGTCTATAAGCAGCCCTAATTTTTTTTTTAAGGAGATTAATCCTTGACTAATAGAAAATGAATCCTAATATGGGATTTTGGATCATATAAAGCTTTGTTATAGAAATACTGATCACTGTAACCACATTCATCGTAAGTATGTATCTTATCGTAGTGTTGTCAGGCACTTCTTTGAAAAACTTACCTGTCCCTAGGAGAAGGATATTTCAGTCCTGTCACAGTTATGAAAAATAATTCGAGCCTGATACAGGAATCCATCTGCCTTTAGATCGGTAATGTTTTCTATTCTTGGTCTTCAGGTGAAGTTTTCAAACCTGTCTCTTTTGTAGGACTTGGAAAAGGAGAGTGACACACCCCTCCAGCAAGTATCCATTGAAGAAATTCTAGAAGAGCAAAGGGTGGAACAGCAGACCAAGTTGGAGGCAGAGAAGCTGAAAGTGCAGGCCCTGAAGGACCGAGGTCTTTCCATTCCTCGAGCAGATACTCTGGAGGAGTACTAAGTCTTGCCCAGAGGCTGTTGCTCTTGAAGAGTAGGGGCTGTCACTGAGTGAAAGTGACATCCTGGCCACCTCACACAGTTGATCAGAGACTGTAGAGTTTTGAAAAATCACTCTTATTTTTCATTCTTTTACACATGAAACATGAATAAATCATGTAGGTGGGTTTTTTTTTTTAAATAGCAAAATCATTGTTTCAAGAAACAGTGGCATAGACTCCTTCACATGTCACTGGCACCAGCAACTACTTTATATTGTTCTTTGTGTCCCGAATTAGAGTTTACAGGGACATTCTTCATTTACTTGTAAATAAAATATGAATCTCAAAAGTGTCATGTTATTTCCAAGTTTGAGTTGCCTCTAATGAATAGAAAAAATGAAGTTTCTGTTCTCAAAGGTATTAGAATCCACATACTGGAATTTTCCTCCTTCAGTCACAGTTTCAAGTAACTGGCTACTTAGGAAGGAATACTTTTATTCTGATCATCTCAAGGGTCCTCTCCTCTTTTCATGTTTGTATCTGATAAGAAATACAAATTTTCAGCCTTGAGGAGGGAGCTTTCAGCTGAGTTTCCCAGTTACTGGCTACTGCAGAAGACTCATGTTTGAGAAACAACATCAACTGTTGCTCTTGCTCCTGCTTCACCCATGGCTGATCTAAACTAAGTCCCCATGAGACCTAACATGTTCTTAAGGTGCTTGGTTCTTCAGATTTTCTGCTAATTTAATTAGGTTTTCTAGTCCTTTGAATTGAGTCTTGAGTCTCTTATGTTCTTATCAAAAAGGAACATAAATGGAATTTTAGTGACCGAAAGCCCATAGTGATGGCATTTTGTGTGATTGTTGAAAAGTAATGATTGCATAAAAAGCTTAACAGATTTGTACTTCAAGGATGCTGGGTGCGGTGGCTCACGCCTATAATCCCAGCACTTTGGGAGGCTGAGGTGGGCAGATCGCCCGAAGTCAGGAGTTCAAGGCTAGCTTGGACAACATGGTGAAACCCCATTTCTACTAAGAATGCAAAAATTAGCCGGGTGTGGTGGTGCTCACCTATAGTCCCAGCTACTTGGGAGGCTGAGGCAAGAGAATCACTTGAACCCAGGAGGCAGATGTTGCAGTGAGCTGAGATCGCACCACTTCATTCCATCCTGGGCAACAGGGCAAGAATCCATCTCAAATAAATAACAGAAGGAAGCATGGGTTGTTAGACAGTAGGCCCAACTAGGCGGAGACATGGTATAAAATTGGCTTATTGGCCGGGCGCGGTGGCTCACACCTGTAATCCCAGCACTTTGGGAGGCCAAGGTGGGTGGATCAAGAGATCGAGACCATCCGGGTCAACATGGTGAAACCCCATCTCTACTAAAAATACAAAAAATTAGCTGGGTATGGTGGCACGTGCCTGTAATCCCAGCTACTCAGGAGGCTGAGGCAGGAGAATTGCCTGAACCTAGGAGGCGGAGGTTGCGGTGAGCCGAGATCGCGCCATTGCACTCCAGCCTGGGTAACGAGCAAAACTCCATCTCAAAAAAAAAAAAATGGCTTATTAGGTTAGTCGAATAAGTCTTCCTCTGACTCTCATTAATTTTAGGAAAACTATGATTATTCCAGGTAGTCCCTTTTATTATCTGTTAAGCAAAGAGAGAAGGTTTTATATCTAATTTGTATGTGTGTGATTTTATTTTATTTTTTTTTTAGACAGAGTCTTGCTCTGTCGCTCAGGCTTAAGTGCAGAGGTGTGATCTTGGCTCACTGCAACCTGCGCCTCCCTGGTTCCGAGTACCTGAGATTATAGACACGCACCATCACACCCTGGCTAATTTTTGTATTCTTAGTAGAGATGGGGTTCCACTATATTGGCCAGGCTGGTTCTCAAACTCCTGGCAAGTGATGCACCAGCCTTGGCCTCCCAAAGTTCTGGGATTACAGGCATGAGCCACCATGCTCGGCCTTTATGTGTGTGAATTATTTTATAGTATTAAATAAACAACATTTTATGAGCTCAGGTGGTTTTAAAACTGCCCAAGATGCCTATAAACCATTAGACTTCTGAACTATTAATCACTGGGCTAATTTTACAATAGGTAATTTATGAAGAAACAATTGCACTAATCTAATATTTTGCCCATAATCTTACGGTTTAATAGAATGTACTATTAACTACCCACATGAAGAAAGAAGTGCCAACTTTGGAAAAACATGTCTATCTGACTACCATGAGACTCTGAAGTTCAGCAGAATGACATCTGTTTTTCAGAGCTCCACTGCTTCAAAACATGTGACACCTCCAAGAAATGTGAATTCATTACAGTTATCTTGTGTTTTCAACATCTATCAAGTCCCACTGTAATGGCAAGAGTTATGATTTACGTTAAACCAGTGGAAATGGGACTTAGCCACAATAATGCAAGAATCTTTAAATTCCAAGAATTTCCTATAATCCCAGCATTTTGGGAGGCCAAGGCAGGTGGATCACAAGGTCAGGAGTTCAAGACCAGCCTGACCAACATGGTTAAACCCTATCTCTACTAAAAATACAAAAAGCAGCTGGGTGTGGTGGTGCATGCCGTAATCCCAGCTACTCGGGAGGCTGAGGCAAGAGAATTGCTTGAACCTGGGAGGTGAAGGTTGCTGTGAGCTGAGATCACGCCATTGCACTCCAGCTGGAGTAACAAGTGCGAAACTCCATCTCAAAAAAAAAAATTTCCAAGCCATAGCAGGTTTCAGTCATTGTGTGTAATGTCTTGCTTTAGACCTTTATCATACAGCCAGCGGCCAAGACTTGGACCTAAAGGATAAAACTCTCCAGACTATCTGCTGCCTTCTTAGTTCTCTGACTGCCCAGTGCAATGGTTTGCCCTCAGCTTACCCAAGCCAGTCTTCGCAGATACTGAAGTCCAGTTGCTTTCTTCCCCAACCATTACTGGACTCTTGTATTATTAGGCTTCAGGATCAGTCTCATTTCATACTTCTGTTTGGTCTTTATTAGTTTCTTCCAGGCCAGTGGCTCACACCTGTAATCCCAGCACTTTGGGAGGCCAAGGTGGGTAGATTGCTTGAGGTCAGGAGTTCAAAAACCAGCCTGGCCAATATGGTGAAAGCAAGTTGTTTTTTTTTTTTTATTTTTTTAAGTCTATGTCCATTTTTATATCTTTCTTTTCAACTCCTGAAAATCACCTGTGCCCCTGATGGGACTGAATCTCTATGCTATTCCCAGAAATCTGCATGAGTCCTTCTCTCACTATCTTCAGATCTCTGTCACATTTCCCCTTCCTTGACTGCCTCTTCTGTCTCAAAAACTAAAATAAAATAAAATAGCACCCCTGGCTCGGTGTGGTGACTCACTCCTGTAATCCTAACCCAAACTGCTGGGATTACAGGCATGAGCCACTGTGCTGGGCAAGAGACTGCTTTTTTTGGTTTGTTTGTTTGTTTGTTTTGACGGAGTCTCTCTCACCACACTGGAATGCAGTGACACAATCTCGGCTCACTGCAACCTCCCTCTGCCAGATTCAAGTGATTCTCCTGCCTCAGCCTCCGGAATAGCTGGGATTACAGGTGCACACCACCACACCCAGCTAATTTTTGTATTTTTAGTAGAGACAGGGTTTCACCATGTTGGCCAGGATGGTCTCGATCTCCTGACCACATGATTCACCCACCTCAGCCTCCCAAAGTGCTGAGATTACAGGCATGAGCCACCCAGCCAAGAGACTGCTTTAAGGGTGTTTGCTTTTACCAATTAAGCTGGTCTTGTGTTTATCTAAGTGGCCAAAGATCAAAAGTGAATTTTGTGGCCTAGCACAGTGGCTCATGTCTATAATCCCAGCACTTTGAAAAGCCAAGGTGGACAGATCACATGAGGCCAGGAGTTCGCAACAGCCTTAGCAACATGGTAAAACCCTGTCTACTAAAAAACACAAAAATTAGCTGGACATAATGGCGCATGTCTGTAATTCCAGCTACTCGGGAGGCTGAGTCTGGAGAATTCTTTGAAACCAGTAGGTGGATGTTGAAGTGAGCCCAGATTGCACCACTGCACTCCAGCCTGGGCGACAGAACAAGACTCTGTCTCAAAAAAAAAAAAAAGGAAATTTTTCTACCTTGAAAGAACTGGAAAACAAGCCTAGAAAATAGAGCGTATCAGCTGGGCGCGGTAGCTCACGCCTGTAATTCCTGCACTTTGGGAGGCCAAGGTGGGCAGATCACCTGAGGTCAGGAGTTCGAGACTAGCCTGGCCAACATGGCAAAACCCTGTCTCTAATAAAAATACAAAAATTCGGCATGGTGCCACAAACCTGTAGTCTCAGCTACTCAGAAGGCTGAGACAGGAAAATTGCTTGAACTCAGGAGGTGGAGGTTGCTGTGAGCTGAGATCTCGCCACTGCATTCTAGTTTGGGCAATAGAGTAAGACTGTCTCAAAAAAATAAAAATAAAGAAAATGGAGCATATCTGTTGCTTGCCTGTCCCAAAGCGCTGGCTCAGTCCACCTTGGCCAGGGCTGCCCTGCCTATCTAATCCCCACACTCTACCAGGGCTATTTGGAAACAGAATAAAATCAGGTGCTGCCTGCCTTTTCTCCCGTCCAGATTAATTGCTGTGCCTCTCTATTCCCCCTCTCGGCCTCCTATTTTCTACCCATTCTCCTTTATCCCCTTTCCCCCTGACTTCAGCAACTCAGCAGTGGTTGCTGCCACTTGGCCAGATTCAGGAGTAGAAAAAGGGCCTCAAAGCCTGTTTCTTTGGAAACCCAGAGAACTGAGTAGTGTCAGGGCCCAAGTCCGTAGCTGGGGCCAATAGGAAGAGAGAGCGCTCACTGCTAGGCAGACTTCAAGGTCAGGAACCCAGAATGCCTGGGAATCCATCACCAAGACACAATTTTTTTCTGGTCAGTTTTACTGAGGTGTAATTTATATAAAATAAAATTCACCCTTTTTGGTGTAGACTTCTATAAGTTTTAACAACTACGCATAGTCATGTAACCACTATCATGATCAAAATACAGAATATTTTCATCACTCCTGACCCTTTTATTTAACTCCTTCCTCCTTTCCGGCCCCTGGATAACACTGTTCAGTCTTCTGTCCCTATAGGTCACAGTGGCAACGAATTCAAAACGTTCTTAAAATGGTGCATAGGTCAAATTAAATATTGTGAAGGTTAAATTCAGTTTGTTCTTCGGGTTTAGGTGACTACAAAAGACCAAAAGGTCTATGTTCTCTGCCAAAATTCCTGTGAAACAGCATCGAAAGTCTGGCTTGCATCCTTGAAATGGTGGGTCGTGGGGGGAAACAAGGGACTCCAACAGAATTTAAAGTTATATAAGCA